TTTTGTTGGTGAAAACTTTTGGTTTTTGGATACAAATTGGAAAGGGAATTGCGATTTAAAGCCAGACTAATAAAGAAAAAGATCACATATACTAAACTGATATAATTACGGTTGTTCAAACACCTCGAACAACGGAAGTGCTATTGATGTTCTTCTTGGAAACTCTTTTCTTATGCTGCTTCTTGGAGACAGCTGTTCAAATTTAAATTAGAACTCAAAAAACTATTTTTTAACATTTTCATAATCCATAATCGAAATACATAAAAATTCTAAGAGATTTTATTTCTTTCATCTACTAAAAATGCGTTTTTTTTTTCTCGCTAAATAAATGAGCTTGAATAATTAAGTCTGAATAATAAAGTCTTTTAATAAATGAGTTTGAGCTTATATTTTATAATTGCTTTCATTTCGACGACATTTTATTATTCAAACTTTCGATTTTAAAGAAAAACACAACAAATTATATTTAATAAATGTTCACATTTAAGAATAAATTATCAAATTTCAGAGCCATTTAGTAGTTTTGTTAAGAACTCTTTCATTAGAGCCGAATAGTCTGTGAGCTACAGTAAATGGTTAGCTTGAGTTATTTATTGAAGCTCCTTCACAATATTGCTTCCTTATGGCATCGGAATTGCCGCCTTCTTTCATAAAAGCATACATGAACAACATTATTATACCCTGTCCTCATTATTTTATTGTGAACAGGGAATATCAAATACAATATGTTTATCCAGAGTTGAGAGTTTAGGCGGAACGAGTTCTAGACCAAACCTATATGTTAACTTAAGTTTAAAAAGGCTTCTAAGGAACCAACTTATTTACTAATGTATAGAACAGAACATTACGTAGAGCACAGCTAAATGTCTTTAACATGAATCTATAGAAAATAAAAATTCATTTTACTTGTCTACCCAAAAAAACGATGCTATATATATCGTTGATTAAACCTATATTTTTCAATAGTTCTGGGGCCCCGAAACCGAAATAATTTTTTGAAACCGATTGAGATTTGCGAAAGTAATGCAAATATAGTTGACTATACACAAACCCAAAAATTGCAACAACAAAATTTATAAAAAAAAAAATTTGGGTATTTTATATGATTTATAAAAAAAACCTTGCCAACGAAACATGTTTAAAAACCCTTGGTGGATTTAGGAGTATCAAAACTAGTGAAAAATATAAGTTTCATCAGAGGCAATTATATAACCGTTGTTGCAGAGTGTTCTCGGGTAGACAAGTAAAACTAACTTTTATTATCTTAAGATTCGTTCATCGTTTATTAAACGCAGCTACAGAGAAAGGAATCAGTCTTCATCTGGTGACATATCAAGCTTTGCAGGCAGTCAAACTAAATTAAATTAAATATCATAAATATTTTCAATTTGCTTCTGATAACTGCAACAAAATGAATATTGTTTTAATACCGGCAAATTAGCTAAAAGTACTGCATATGCTAGAGGTTAAAGGTTAACTTAGTTGGATAGAGTACATAGAGTATATATATAGAGTATATATAGAGTATATATATATATATATAAATGAATTAACTTTCGAAGATAAACAAAGACATAAATCGTCATTTTGTGTCTTTAGCAGACGGAAATCGTTTGCCATTTGTCGATAGGTCAGCTGGTTAACCGAATGACACTGGCACCAGGGCGCGCTGAGTGCATCTGTGGCAGAGAGAAGACGCCTTTCGCAAAACTAAATCCCAAGAGATATATTATTTCTGTAAGTTGAGCTGAGAAAACTACTTGATTTTCTGGCCGAAGCGCAGCTAATTTTTGTTTCATTTTATAAATAAAGATCTTTGGCCGCTACGGATATTAATCAAAATAACAAAGTTGAGCGTTTTTAATCTTTTACACTCTTTCCAATCAAAATATGCAGAGCTGTAACAAAAGATTCAGATTGTGTTTCATATTTTGTTTTTCTACCGGTTCTGTTCTCGTTCTTGTACGCTTTTGATGCCCTGGCGCATTGGGGGTAGTCCCGCTGCCGGGGCGCCAAGCATTTTAGTTCCACTTTAGGCGCACAGACGAGGCCATACTTAGAAAAAAACGAAATAGGTATCCACAACGATGATGACTAACGGATTCGTTTATATTTTGTTCCCATGAACAAAAATATTTAATTTGATTGCCGTTTTTATGTCTTCATTAGCAAAATGCTACAAAAGTAATAAATTAGAGATTGCGGCTTTTCGAAAACGCTTTATTTCCATGTGTGTGCTTGTATATTTGTGTGTATGTGTGCGTGTGCGTGTGTCTGTATGTACGTTCGTAAGTCTGTAATTCGGCCCATGCATGAAGATTAACGCCTGATTAATGAACACGATTATTCATAATTCTTATCACTGGGCCCCTCACAAATAATTGAAACATTTTCGCGGCGGCCGCCTCTGTGACTGCATTCAATGCTAATTCGACTTCATAGAATTTGATTTAGAGATCATTAAGAGCGAGCGCGAGCACAACATGGACATGGACATATACATGCGCTTCCTTTGCTGCCATTATTGATGATGCGTCTTCACATACATACGCACCTGTGTATGCCAGTGTATGCCTGTGTATGTGTTTGTGTGTGTTTGTGATTCCTCTGTCTGCACATTTGCGGCACGCAGCTCGTCAATCAATTGACCAAGCCAACTTGCAACCGGTTTGTGCTCCACTTCCAATGCACACTTTGAAAAGTTTTAAAAAGGGTATTATAGCTTATGCACTTGTATGTAACAGGCAGAAGAAAGCATCTCCTGTTCTCTCTATTCTTCTGTCTGTGTGCTCGGTTGTTTGACACTGGGCTTAGGGTATCTCCTAGTCGTGCTCTTTCGATTAGTGCGCTCCGACTTGATATGGTTTTTTTTGTTTTAGCATACCCTAACAAAAAAGGGAGCGGTCGACTCAGTCGAAGGATTCTGCTCATAATCATATACAATTTTCTTAAAGACCAAATTTTAAGCAATCAAAAAGTCATATACATATATAAATATCCGGCACTTTTGAACTGGCAAATATATACAAACTTATACTAAGTATTGCATTTACTTCGAATAAGTTAACTTATATTGAAATCAAAAATAAACGATTCCTGACAACTCGAACTAACATAGAAATTTTAAGGAATATTCAAAATAATATAATTGATACATTTTAATAGTAAATATTCAAATAATTTAAAATTACAATTATTATTAAACGACTAGCCTTAGAGGAATAAATAATAATAATCAAAATATAAAATATAAATAATTATGATAAGAATTATATGAAAGACAAGTAGGAGGAATCTCCTATAGCAATAATTAATTAAATAGATGTCTCTTATGTTTTTATACCCTGACCCCATTAAAAATGTGTAAAAAGGGTATAATGTTTTTGTGCAAATGTATGTAACAGACAGAAGGAAGCATCTCGGACCCCATAAAGTATATATATTCTTGATCAGCATCAACAGCCGAGTCGATCTAGCCATGTCCGTCTGTATGTCCGTCCGTCCGTCTGTCCGGCTGTATGAACGCAAGGATCTCAGAACCTATAAGAGCTAGAGACTTGAAATTTTAGCTGCAGGTCCTCCTAGTAGCCGCGCAGATTGAGTTTCCGATATTCGATAAGTTGCCCCGTTTCCAAGTAATCGATAAAAATCGATATCGAAATACTGTTTTTAGCGCAATTTTGGTAAGTAATAAGAGCTAGAGTCGAAAAACTTGAAATGTAGCTTCTAGAATAGTATATATACAACTATCTTTTATTTTATAGCTATTTTCATCTCCCCTTTACCATCACTTATAAATCAAGTTAATTATCCAACTTGTATTGCCCATGAATTTAAGCATCAATTTTCATATATGCAATTGACTTTTTGAGAATACACAAATGTTCTATATTATATTCTACAATAAGATGTACTGTCGAAAATTTCATTAAGATCGATTAAGAAATACAAAAGTTATGTGCGCATGTGTTAGCAGCATAGCTGCTGCGCAAATTCCAAGAATTTCAGTATACATGTACACACACACATTCATGCGTGTTTGCTTTGAATTCTATCAACAGCATTGCAATTGCGATTGTATTGTTTTCTGCGCTGCTATTTTAATTGGTTTGTTTCTCATTGTGACAAAGTTATTGGTGTGGCTCTTTAGTAGAGGCGGTGGCAAGTGGTGCGGTTAGTTGCGAGTTCAAACCCTTCCAAGGGAACAATTTCTTTTGTATTTGAATTTTTCTTTATTACTACTAAAGCAAACGAGCGCGTAGCGCGAGCTGCATTTGGTGTTGGAAGAAGAGGGTTCAGGGTATCCCCTAGTCGGGAGCTCCCTACTAGAACCTCTTACTTGTTTATTATATACCCTATTAGCCTGCTTTTATTCGAATTCAAAAACCGTTTTCAAGAATGTGGAATAAATATATATTTATATATAATCTTTACACAAGCCCGCCAACGGTTGCAGGTAATCGACCTATGAACTCCTCTAAAGTTCGAGCCACGCCCACCACTTTGCGCACAATTTTCAAGAAACGAAATACTCAAAAAAAAATCACAGTTTAAAAGCAACTGCTTCACATACACAGATGAATCAGGCTGTTATAAACGAAATTCGTTCCGACTAGCTCAAGCAGTCAAACACTGTGAACAGGTTATGGAGCAGTCGGTTACACCCGACGTAAAAGTTCCTGGTTTCTAAGCATGTGTTGATTTTTCCTGCTCAGCGATCGCGGAGCTTTTTCATGAATGATGATATATAAAAATATATAAATATATGAGAGACAAATACGAAGAATTTAATTGCTGAAATGTGTTTCGCGCCCATCTTCTATACCAAAAATTAGTATAGATGTCTCCTGTGTTTTTTTTAAATCGTTTCGCTTTGGAGCTGATATGCGTGTGCTAAATTTATATATGAATAGTATTTCCCGCCACAAATATCAAATATTGCTATAAAACGGGCAGATTAATTTAAAATTCGCGAATGGTCGTTCAGTCTTCGAAGCACAATGATTAAATCTGGATCTGTTCTAATCGCTTTTTTGGTCTGCCTGCTAACGGTCGACGCTAATAGCTCATTATCAAGTAAGCTATATATACAAAAACATATATATAGAGCATTGCTTAAATTGAAATTACCCACCGAACTAGTTACCTGCAATGGCAATCCACAGCAGGCATACCGTAAGATTGGCTTTAAGTACTACTTCATATGGCACACAAAGGTTTCCTGGTTTGAGGCAATACACGTTTGCCGGCGCTTGGGCGGAGATCTGGCCCTAATCGAATCGTCCGGGGAGATGACGTCCATTTCCGATTTTCTACTGAGCCAGGGCTATGACGGCACCAGTTGGCTCTGGATATCGGGCAACGATCTTGTGAATAATCGTCGGTTTAAGTCAGTAACAAACGGAATGCCATTGTCCTATACTAATTGGTCAGGTGGACAACCCGATAATGCAGGTGGCAATGAGCATTGCGTCCATTTGTGGTTAAGTGGAGGCACCTTCAAAATGAACGACTGGATTTGTAATAGCGCGGCTCAAGTCTTATGTCAAAGCCAAAATCACACACGTTGCTGGGAAGCTTATAATTAAGACTCGAACCAAGAACAAATACGAAATACGTCGTTAATTCAGGGATTTGTGGATTGGTTGCTTATCTCAATTTAATTTGTGCAAATAACTTTTTTTTATATTTTTGGCAATTTTAAATTTAATTTAAATAGTTAAAGTCGGGCAGCAAGGTATTCCATTACTCACAATTGTTATCAAAACTGCAAATATATTAACAAAGTCCAATTAAAGAATCGAACTTGAAACTTCGCAGATAACCTCATATATTCTCGCATTTATATTGTGTTATTTATATTATGTTAGAAAAATTAACAGTTCATAAGAAACTTCCCTAGGGTTAAAGTTTGAAAAATTCTAATACGTTTTTCAAACTATTCTAAGCTTTTATACTATAAACAGAGTATTGCGCAGTCAGTTGCATCCGACTACCACTTTTTATACCCTGAAACCATTAAAAATGGGTAAAAGGGGTATAATGTATTTGTGCAAATGTGTGTAACAGGCAGAAGGAAGCATCTCCGACCCCATAAAGTATACATATTCTTGATCAGCATCAACAGCCGAGTCGACTAGCCATGTCCTTCGGTCTGTCCGTCCGTCCGTCCGTCTGTCCGTCCGTCCGTCCGTCCGTTTGTCCGTATGTATGAACGCAAGGATCTCAGAACCTATAAGAGCTAGAGACTTGAAAGTTTAAACTCAGGTCCTCCTAGTCCCCGCGCAGAACGAGTTTCTTACCGATATTCGATAACTTGCCCCGTTTCCAAGTAATCGATAAAAATCGATACCGAAATCCTGTTTTTAAACCTGTTTTAACTTAAAATGTAGCTTCTGGAATAGTATATATATATCAAGTATCTTTCATTTTATAGCTATCGCCACCTCCTCTTTACCATCACAAAGCTATAAATCAAGTTAATAAACCAACTTGTATTGCCCACTAACTTAAGCCACAATTAATGCAATCGATAATACAATTGAGAATACGCAAATATTCTAAATTCTATTCTACAATAAGATGTACTGTCGAAAATTTCAGTAGCAATTATCGATTCGTGATCGTTAACATGGGCTTCTATTTTAATTCTACTTAACGCGTCTGCCACTACATTCTGTGATCCTTTTTTATAGATAAGTTGGATAAGTTAATGGTCGATAGTCTGTTATAATTTTCAATTTATTACCATAAAGGTAGGGTCTATGTATTTAGTCGCTCAAATTATTGCTAACATTTCTTTTTCGACAGTTTAGTAGTTTTGTTCTGTCTCGGGCAAGTATCTGCTGACGAACGACACTGGTCTGACTTAACCTAATGTGCCCTGTGAAAGGACTGCTCCTATCGCTACATTGCTAGCGTCAGTATTTAGAATAAATTGTTTTGAAAAGTCCAGGTATTGGAGTATTGGGTCGTTGCATAGTAATGTTTTACAATGCTCAAAAGTATCTATGTATTCTTTGTTTATGGTTAAGAGGTTTTATGATTTTTGCGAAGTCCCTAATGAATTTTCTATAATAACCCAATAGTTCTAAAAAGGATTTTATTTCTTTTCTTGTTTTGAAGAGTGGGAATTTTTTTATTGTGTCAATCTTTTTAGGGTTTGGTTTTATACCGTCACTAGTCACAATGTGTCCTAAGTACTCTATTTCATTTTTTTAAAAACTCAGATTTGTCCGGTTGTAGTTTGTAGTTTGTTAAATACTTGTTTTAGGTGATCAATGTGTTCCTGGAGTGATGTTGAGATTATAATGATGTCGTCTAGGGACACTAGACAAAATTTCCCTATTATGTCTTGTAAGATACTGTCCATAATTCTTTGGAATGTCGCGGGTGCATTTGTTAGCCCGAAAGGCATTCTAGTGAGCTCCTAGTGTCCACCTTCGGCCGAGAATGCTGTTTTTGCTGTATCTTGCAGTGCCATCTCTATCTGATGGTAGCCACTTGCTAAGTCAAGAATCGAAAAGTATTGTATTGGGGTAGTTATCTTTGATCGTCTTTTTGTTTAATTTCCTAAAGTCCACAACCAATCTCAATTTTTTCTCTTGGGAGGCGTCCTGTTTTTTCGGTACAAACCAGACAGGAACACTCCAGGGTGAATAGCTGTTTCTTATAATGTCTTGATCTAATAATTCATTAATTTCTCTTTTGACCTCGGCTCTTTCGAAATGTCCGTATCTAAACGGTTTTGTGTAGATTGGTATATTGTCTGTTGTCGGGATGTCGTGTTTTATAGGGTTGGTAAATGTCAGTTTTTCCTGGTCGTTGTAAAATAGGGATGGGTACTTATTGCATAATTTTATCTTAGTAATAATCTTCGTACCTTCTTCGGGGTTAAGGTGGTTAAGGTCGTAAGTTGAGGGGGCTTGTTCTGTCCGTTTCCCATTTCTTGGTACTAAGGTCTATTGTATTTATTTCTATGTATTCGTCCACTTCAAACTGTTTTACCAGTAAGGGGGACTCTAGATACATTTTTTGAGGTTGGTCTAAATAATTGACAACTTCCATATAGCTTATGTACTCTTTGGCCTGATAAAGCCCTTCGGTAATGTATACTTTTTCTGTTATTTGAATTTTAGTTTCTGGAAAGGTGCCGTTGTCGATGTTTACCGGGAGTGGTACTATGGCTTTAGAATTTTCCTCTATTGTATAGATTTGTGTTATTTTGTTATTTTGGATAAAAATTGGTAAGTTAGCTTGGGGTGTATGAAGATGTAGTTTTTCCAAGTCTAGTTTGGCTTTTAATTGTTGTAGAATGTCGATACCTATTAGGCCGTCGAAAAAGAATGAAATTTGAATAAGAGGAATCTTAGATTTCCACTTGTTTTGAATTCTTTGAATATGGGAAATTCAATTTTTTCGTGAAGTGTATGTTTGTTTAGTAATGTTTTGATCTGAACTGGTTGCTATTTGTTGCTATTTATTTCCTGGGTAAACATAGGGTCATGGAAGGAACTTGATGCTCCTGTTTCTATTGCAAATTTTAGCGGTCTGCCAAATGGGGTATCTATATTAACGTATGGAAGTGTCGATCCGTTTTTGTTCACGTCTATGTATCCTGTCTGTGGCTTGAGGCTTCTGTTTGAAAATTTGACTGTTCGTTAAAATTTTGCGAGTGGTTTGTAGTCGTATTTGCGTTTCCGTCTTCTATATTGTAAAGTTGATAAGGTCGAATCTCTGTGTCTGAGGACTATTCTTTTCGGGTTTTGGCATAATTGCCGGTCTATTGGGATTGATGTTTGCGTTATTGGTCCAGCTGTTATTTGGTCGTTGCAGATTCTTGTTTTATGGGTAATAGTTGTCCTGTCTTCTACGTTGACCGTTATTAGAGTTTGAGTTATACGGCTTTTTCTTATTATTTCTGTATTCTATTGGTTTGTCTTTTTGATCTGTTTGGTTTCTATTTCCTGATGGTCTTCCCTTTTCTACGTCTGCATTCTTGATAATAAATATCTCTTTCCTGAATTGCTGCGTTGTAAGCATCTTTAAGAGATGTAGGTCTCATTGTCCTTAGAAATGCTCCTAAGGGTCCCCTAACTCCTGTTACAAAAGTGTTCAAGCATATTTTCATATACGAATCTTTTTTTGCTTTAATAATGCTATATTCTGATTCTGTATTTTCTATCAGGTCGAATAGGGTTAGTTTCATTTCGTTTATTTGTTCGTAAAGCCGGGTCACTGACGGGTCTTTCTGTGTTAGCAAGTGTAAATCGTATAGAAGAGCTGATTCTTCGCGTTTGTCTGCAAAGTTGGTTGCAAGGGTCTCTTTAATTTGGTCCCAATTGAGTGAGGTTCCTGCTGATAATAGGACGTCGTTAGCTTTTCCCTCTTTTTTATTTCTGATAGCTCTAAATAATAGCTGTCCGTACTGAGTGTGGTCTGTGCCTCTAATTAATAGTAAGATTTCTTCTGCGTTTAATATAAATTCGTTAAGTGCCTTAATGTTCCCGTCGAAAGGTGGTAGATAACGAATTGCATCTGGGTTGCGCATAGATGCAAATACATCTTGGGGGTTAGTCGGTGTTGGTTGGTGCGGGGGTGGTGTGTTCGAGGTCGATGCCATTGTTACCGCTATTTCTTGTGTACTATTCTTGGGTCTAGGTATGGTTTTTCGGGTAGTTACTTCTGTTATATCGGACAAACTAGCACTTATTCTTGGTCTACTTCTCGTTAAAGTTTGCTTTACCTTTCCTTATTTAGATATTAATATTTGGTTTTTGTTATGTGTTTGTTCTTATGATTAGTAATTTTTTTTTAAACTTAAATTATTATTATATGGTATTATGTGTTTTCTTGTATAACTTATTGTTATGTGTCTTATTTCTAGGGTATTTGTGTATTCGTGTGTAGTTGTTTATATTTAGGATGAATCGCTGTGTTTTTGTGTCTCACAATATTCTGTAATAAGAGATACTTTAGTAATTTGTTTCTTTCATAATCTTAACTTACGTCTTGTGAATGGATAGTAAGTTAATAGTTTTAAATTTGAAAAAAAAAAAATTGTATATATATATGTATAAGTTGTACATAACTTTATTTATTTATTTTTTTGTTTATTATTATTATTAAAAAAAAATTTTTTTCTTTTTTGCACTGGTACTTATAACCACCCCATTTTGTGTTCCTTCTAATTTGGTTCGACTACCGATAGTTGAATGCGCGATTCTACACATTTTTTAGTCTGTGGCCAAATAAGAGATCATATTATTAACGTTGATAATATTGCCTTTCTGCAATGGTTCTTTCTTAACCTTGAAGAGCACGACTTGCTTATTCAGTGACCTGTTCAAACCAATCGAAATTGGTTGCGTCCCAACATCTATCGTGTTTGCCACGCCGCACTAATTCGTTCGAACCTTGCATTGCAACGGATTTGTTGGATTGAACGGACGCAAACGTTAGTTTGCTGCCTTCCAACATGTTGCGCCCAAGTCCGAATCGAACCACTGCAGCTACGTTGC